GTATGTATGTATGTATGTATGTATGTATGTACGTACGTATATATGTATGTATGTATGTATGTACGTACTGTATGTATGTAACATACATACATACAGTACGTACATCTTAACATGCCAAAATATTTTCTACTATTTTTATTCATTTTTTATGCTCTGACTAATCATATAATGGAAGGCTTATACATGTAAACCTTTCATGGTCAAGATGGACTTTAGGCATTTTATGGGTCTTTCTTCAAAATTTTGCCAGTGCTTCACATTTTTAAATAAATTTTATATCATACTGCCATCCACTCATTTATGATTGGACTGAGAAGACAACAGATTGAAGAGAGAATCCAAGGCATCCATCTCCCCAGTGACACTCTCCATCTCTTCCTGAGGGACCCCAAGCTGTAAGGCCAAAGAGCTTATACAGTCTCTTCCACTGAGTTCTGGATTTGACCCAGGGTCTCCTSCCAGTGGGATTACTTAGAAAACCTCCAGAGGAAAGCATCCAGGAAGCATCTTAATCAGATGCAAGAACCACCTTAACTGACTCCTTTTGATGAAAACTCTCCTTAGATGATGGAGTTACTCACCTAAACTCTAAGGCTGGAAACTGAGTTGTTTTCTGTTTTTATTTTTACCTTTGATGAAGAGTGGTTTACATGTTTTAGAACAGAAAGAATGAAACAGAATACCTGACCTGGGTCAGAGGAACTGYAGCAACCTCCTGAAGCCAGAGCAGGGGGACAGGGAGCACACAAGGGAGCACTTGAAGTTTGAAAAAGCTACAGGATGCAACATTCATCATGGCCTGTGAGGAGGGAGCAGTTAAGGTCGGGTGCTGTGTGAGACAGGTGGTCTTAGGGTGCTGATTCCTGACATCATAAAATGTTTTAAATTTTCTTTACCAAGTATATTATTGGTCTTGCCAACCCTGATTTTTGCTAACGCTCCAAATCTGGCAATATTAAGAATTAATTGACATGATTCAAACTTAAGGTAAAAAATGGCTATTTTAACAGAATTAAAATTACTGTAAGATAATTTATTGTTTTATTTCCCTATTTTTGCACAGCTGACATTCATCATTATGGCAAAAATAATGCAAGAATTAGGTTGACTTTCCAGAATAAAATAGCATGAAGTGAGAAGATTTTTCTTTTAAAAATCCGTATCAGCAGCTCATTTCTGTAAAGAAACCCTTTAAAAACATGTATATGTTAGAAAATGACACATTTAGGTGGTTTCTCACAGCTGGCGGTTTCACACTGCAGCTCTCATTCTGCTCACTCACATTCAGTAAAGGAGAAGACCTAGCTGCATGTTATATCGTCTCGTCACAGTAAACGTTAATTCCAATATTCAAAAAGCAGTGAGCAATTTGCATTCAGCTGTGTTGCGGAAGCGCATCTCAGGATGGGAGCTGCTGCGGGGCTTCAAGTTGCTCAATGGATTTGATTGACAGATGAGTAAATGTAGACGCTTGGCCAATCACCGCCACATCCATTCAATCATTGATTTCCTGCCTCGCCTGAAGAATTTAGTTGAAGTTGTCAGTCCCCTGCCTCAGAGGAGCAGACTTACTGAGTCAGTGCATAGCAGACGGCTAATTTATGTACTTAAAAGCTTTGCTTCTGTCCCCTGCCTCCGTTTTGCGTGGTATACATGTTCCCATTAGAGCCGAGAAGAAGGGGCTTTTAACAGGAAGCTCATCAGCTTCTAACCCTCATTTCCCTACAGTGTACCCAGTCGACATGGCTGATGAAGGGAACTGACTGATGCTAWTGAATGATTAGCCCACCTCCTGCTCTAAACACTGCCTGCGTTAAACACGATGGCTAGTCTTGCCAAAACGATTCCTGCGTTATATCACTGACCCAGATATCTGCATGGTGTAATCACACAGCAGCAGAGTTTAGACTGYGTGGAGCATAAGGTTGAGTTTAAGTGTGGAGGAACAATATTGTGAACAATATTTGCATGCACAATGTCCAAAGCTTTTTCTTGTGTCTACTTTAAGCTAGAAACCTGACTTCAACATGGAGGCCAGGGGTGGCACCTAACTAGCTAGAGGATATGAAAAATACACCTTTGGGCTCAGAAAGATAAAACTCTCTGGCCAAAGGGGGGCCAGTGGGGGCCCTCTTGGTGAACATGCAGCAAACTCAATGCTGTTTGTGACTAAGACCAGACAGGTGGACTGTAAAGGTTTTTTTTTGGTGCAAGTGTGGACCCCTGCTGTTAGAAACAAAAAGGGTTAATTGATTCAGCTCTTTTTCAGACTGCTGAGGCAGATTTAGACAGACTGCAGCTGTGATAATTGTAGCTGCAGTTGTAACTACATATGCTTTAGTTGCTATGGTTCTGTATCTATCTGTTTCTATTTGCTGCATATAGGGCTTTGTGTGTGTAAAGTAGTCTGACAAGACAAACCGTGTCAATAAGTCAGAGTGTCTTTGGTCTAATTAAACTTGCATTCTGCCTACAATGACACTTTTATTCTCTGTAACACATCGGAGCTAATAGTTTAACTTACTGTGAATCTAAAACCGCTCAAATCCCTGAAATACACCAATAAGTTTTTGTCAAGGATTTATTTTACATTGCTCCATCCATCTTTACCTAAACTCTGCCTAAAAGGCCTCCTCATACTTCACCTGAACTCCAGAAACTAGCTCTCGTTGTCGCAGTTGCATGACAAAAATTACGTAATTTTGTTTGTAGCTTCGAATCTTCCACCTCTTCTTGTCACAACCCACTGGAAGAATTTTCATCCCGCCTCCGCGTAAGAAATAATTATGTGATTAGTCTGACGTTCATGGACATGATTGTTTATGCTGCATTTTGCTTCAACTCCTCTTTTCCAAAATCCATCTGAGAAGCAAACATTTATAAAGATAGTCAAAAAGACCAAAAACTCAAGGCTGCCGAGTGCACAGAGGGTTGTGCACAGAGGAATCTGTCTGCCAAAAGCTGTAGTGATTTAATTGGAAAAGATTTGTGGTCAAAATAATGATAGATATCAGAGTTTGTTTTTTTCCAAGGTGTAGACTCCTACAGGCTCTAAAACCTAAAATAACTTTGAAGATGAATTTTTGAAAAAATCCATGAGATTTGAACAACCAATTCTCACTCCCAACTCATAYTGACACTTGGTCAGGTACCGTCTGCATCCAGCTATGGACGCGTCAGGTAACCCCTTCACATCAGTTMTTAACAAGATGAGGAGCATGTTGTCATATTTTTGAAAGGAGTAGAAAATGTGTGACAACTAACAGTCCCAGACCTTTAATTTAACTTCTTTTAGCCCTATAGTACATCCTATCCCTGACCCCAGTACCTAAAATTAACCATTAACCCTGATCCCTTATATTAACCACAGACCCCCAACCCAAAGACCCCTATATGGCGCAACCCRGAAAAGCCACTGGCATGAACAACTGATGCAAGGGAATTACCCAACACGGCAAAACTGGACACAGACGGTACCTGACCAAGCATCAGTATGATGACGAGTCAGAAGTGAGAACGTGTTGGATTTGAAAACATCTGTGATATTTCTCTACATGTCTGTGTACATAAGAAACAGGTGTAAATCCATGTAATTTACAGACAATCTGTACAACTTCACATGTATGAAATAGACAAAGAACTTGTGGAAAGTTTTTGTGTGTGAAGGAGACAGTGCAGAGATACAAGCAGGTCTCTGTGGCTGGAGGGAGGGGGGACACCAAAGCCCACTAGTAGGGACAAGTTCCTGCACCGTCATAAATGGTGGCTGTTTTTCCATGACAAAATTTGCAAATTAGCACTTCTCCTCAGCGAACAACAGAAAGACCAGC